CCCCCCCCCCCCCCCCGGACAAAAATTAAGAATTCTAAATATCATTGTCACAAAAAATTAAATTAGGTATTAAAAAAAATTATATCGTATAATATTAAATAATTAAGTTTAAATATGTTTTTGACGTTTTTGTGGTATTTACAGTATTTCACTATTACCACAGAATAAAGAAATTACAGATATTACAGTGTGTATTTCTATTCTAGATGGTTGAGTTTGATTACCGATAAGATATATCAATAGTTTTGTTATTAATTTATTATGAATTCGAGTTTTTATTGTATATAATATATTTATAGATTGTTGAGCCTTGTAGCGCGTGTGGGAAATGCCACTATAGTGATTACTCTGTCTGACAGAATAATGCATGATAACTAATAATAAAACTTATTGTGTTATTATTTTAAATCGTGATTATTGGTACCTACGTCTTATGAGTGTTGTACTTTTGTTGTGTACTTCTTATTCTATCAAATGACAAGAGTACGCATAAGCTTATAGATATTAGACACATCAACATTTAATTATCTGTACGGGCTATACGAATTTTTTTATTTCATATTTTTTTAATTTGTATTACCTATTTCACAATGAATGAAAAAAAAAATACATGAGTGGATATCAAAAAAGGAAACTAAAAGAAAAAAAAATAAATTGACTGCTGCATTGCCAAAGATAACTGGATATTTTAATAGTACTAATTGCGATTTATTACCAAGTAAGTTATACCTATTTTAAATTTTTAAGCAATATCTATAATATAATATTAATTAAGTACATTAATTATATATGTATAATATAGTACAGTGTTGATTTTCTAGTCTATTGTTTTTACCTATATATATCTATATAAGTGTATTATTCATTGTTTTAACAATTTTCAGTTAATAATGATAAAATTGATTCAACTGCAAATGAGGCAGAATTACAAATACCTGTAAAATGTTATTCTGCTCCTGAAAGTGTTGAATTGAACGATTATAATGTAAATTCATCTTCATATATTGATCCATATTACTGGCCAAGTGAAGTTCATAATAAATTCCTAAAATTTTATGTAGATAAAGGACCAGAATTCTTTCAAAATAAAAATAATAATTTTAATCAATCTGCCCGTTGTGATGGTAAATACTAAATTATAATGTAACCTCATTATACAAATAATACCTAGTTAAATACTGTTCAAACAGAAAATATATTTAATTTACAGATAAAAATCACACAAGACATCTAACCAATGGAATGTTTGTACGAACACTGTCTAATGGTGAAAAATGTCATCGGCAATGGATGTTACATTCTCCCAGTCAAGGAAGTATTTTCTGTTTCATGTGCAAATTGTTTGGAAGTAATCGATCAAAAGACAATCCATTTGTCTGCAGTGGATTTGATAAGTGGAAAAAAAGTGAAAGAATCACTCAACACGAAAATAGTATAGATCACAGAAATGCCACTACAAAATGGTTATTAAGAGTAAATTCAACTATTTTAATTAATAAAGAAATGCATAGACAAATCTCTGTGGAAACTGAATATTGGCAAGAAGTATTATAGCGTGTAATTTCTGTAATCAAGTTTCTTCCTTCAAGAGGCTTACCATTTAGAGGTGATAAAGAAGTCTTCGGTGTAAATAATAATGGTAATTATTTGTGTATTTTAGAACTTATTTCAGAACATGATCCTTTTTTAAAAAATCATATTGAAATGCATGGTAACAAAGGTAGTGGACATCCATCATACCTTTCAAAAACTATTTGCAACGAAATAATTAATCAAATGAATACAGATCTTACTAATCTTATTATAACACAAATAAAAGAAGCCAAGTATTATTCAATCATAATGGATTCCACACCTGATTTATCCAAAACTGATCAAATGGCCATAGTTCTAAGATATTGTACACCAACTAGTATCAACGAACGACTAGTTGAGTTATGTCCATTTGATAATCATAAAGGTCAGTCATTATATTTTATATTAGAAAATTATTTAAAGAGTGTTGGACTAAATATTGAAGACTGTAGGGGCCAGTCTTACGACAATGCTGCTAATATGAGCGGCAAGTATGAAGGTTTACAAAGTTATGTGAAAGATAAAAATAATTTAGCTGTCTATATTCCATGTACTGCCCACTCATTAAATTTAGTTGGTGTGCATAGTGTAGATTGTTGCATTGAAGCTGTGAGTTTTTTTGGATTTGTTCAAATGTTATACAATTTTTTTAGTGGTTCTACACATCGTTGGAAAATTTTAACAGAAAAATTAGAAAAAAATAGTAAAAATCAACTAAGTGTATTAAAGTCGTTAAGTAATACACGATGGTCTAGTCACTTTGATGCTTGTAATGCTTTGATAAAATTTATAATACCATTATTAATGTATTGGAATTAATTTGCGATAGTAATATTGAAAATGGTGATACTAGACGTGATGCAAAAATTTTATTAAAATCTATATTAAAAAAAGAAACCGGGTATTTGGCTATTTTATGGAATGATATATTAGAACGGACCAATAAAACATCTGTTGAACTTCAAAGTAAAATGATTGATCCATTAAAAGCATTTAACCTACTTATATCTTTGAAAAATTATGTGGCTAGTTTAAGAGATTTGTATAACACTTATGTAAATCAAACTACAAAACTAAGTTTAAAATTAAAAAAACATTTTAAAAATGAAGATAATGAAAGACAAATTAAAAGAAAGTGTACAAGTGGATCTCAAAATTCAACTCAGTTAAAAGGTATTGACAAATTTAGAGTAGAAACACATATCATGGTTGTAAATAAGTTTGTAACAGAATTAGATAAAAGGATAACTGCATATAACTATGTATCTCAGCATTTTTTATTTATCACTAAGTTAAATATCCAGCCAGATAATGATATTAACTTAAGCTTGGACAATTTCATTACTATGTATAAAGATGACATAGAACCTTCTATAAAAAATGAGTTGGTTCAATTTAGAGAGTATTGGGATCTCAGTAAACCACCATTTGATGCTTCAAATGTGCATAAAATATTAGAATGGTTTGAAGAAACAAAAATAAAAGATGTATTTCCTAATATTTTAATTGCAATTCGATTATACTTAACAATTCCTGTTGCAAATTGTTCTGCTGAACGGGCATTTTCAAAGTTGGCACGCATAAAAAATAAGTTTAGAACTAGTCAGACTCAAGAATCCTTAAAATCATTTATAATATTATCTTCTGAACATGATTTGTTACTATCAATTGATTTTCAAGAAACTATACTGACTTTTGCTCGAGAAAAATCAAGAAAAAAATGTTTTAAATAAGAGTACCTACATAATGTATAAATAATTTTTATGAAGTATTTAATAATTATTTTGGTTGAATATAAAAATAACTTATGAACATATGAAATATTATATTATGTGTAATAATTGCAATAATTATTGTTTTAAATTTTTTTCATCTATAACATCAATACAATTTAAAAATATTTTAGGTTATTTATTGTGCTACATTTTTGGTGCCTAATGGGGCCCATTTTAACTATTTGCCCCAGGGCCCATTTTTCTATAAATACGGGCCTGCTTACAATTATTAGTGATGGGAGAATCGTATCGATAATTTTCATACGTTGGATTGTTAATCCGATTTTTTATGCGAATTGATTAAGTTTTAACTATTGATCCGATTCCCGATATTTTCGCAGTTGACTGACATCATTTGCTATTGTCACAAACTTTCTATTACGATTCAAATCGATTCACTTCTAAGCAGTGGTGTACAGTGGCGTAACCAGGATTTTTAAATGGGAGGAGCTAATCACTTTTTTGGATAAGTAAGGTAAAAGTGGATATGAGAATTCACCCTTAACCCCCCTCCATCATCTACCACCAAGTTTTTAAATGTAATTCAAGCATTTTAGTATAGTTTTAAAAATATTTATTAATATATAATTTATAATAATAATAATTTTGATCTCAGTGTTCAGTCACTTGCTCCACTCTGACAGCTGCATCCTCTTTTCTGACAAATTCAGTTATTATTTCACTTTGTCGAATTGCTCTTTTTTATTTAAATTAGCCATAGCTAACCCATTCAGTCTGTTTTTCGACATGGTGCTTCTTAAACATTTTTTTAAGCGATTAAGTGCAGAAAACGTTATTTCCAGAGTGGAAGAGGTAACTGGTATCGTGGCGAATAATCGTAAAAGTATTTTAATGTTAGGTTGAAGATTGGTGCAATGAGTGAATCAAGAGCAGAATTCGGTTTTGGAATAGTATTTTGACTCCATTGTTGCCTCCATATGAACAGGTCAACTCTGATTGTAGATGAGGTATCATCATGGAGATCTTGGGCATATATTTTAGCAGCTTTTGTAATATTTTCATCATCATACATATTTAAATTGGCCGGAATAAGTCCTTCAAGTGGCATAACATCAATAAGCCTTTGATTAAAACGAGCATCCATTGATTCTATTAGTCAAGATACACTATAGGTACATAT